CCCAGCAGGCTTCTGGCTATGGGAAATAAAGTGCCCAGGCAGAGCGGCTGCATCCCGGCGGAGCATCCCGGCTACTTGAAAAGGAGGTGACAGGGAGATTTCAAAAAGCAGTTTTTCCAGGAGCACACAGCAGGAGAGGTTTGGGATTTACAGCCAGCCACTGCCCGAGCTGTTTTGCCATCTCAATAGCACACTCTTGCCCTGCCAGCTTCTCCCAAAATCGCACAGGCTGAGATGAGAAGGTGGTCGATGCTGTCGCTGGCTATTAACAGCTCTCCCAGGGCTGCAGAATAACCAGGAGAAAGTCTTTGTGTTCTGCAGCACCAAAAGCCCTGCCAGGGTTGGAGGGCATTTCTTTCCTTTAGAGTTGGCAGCAGAATTAAAACCTGTCGGGACATCATCCAGCCATTCCGGATCCGTGCTGTGACCCCCTCCCAGGCCACACCAGCCACCTCTGTGGAAACCTGCCTGCACCTCTTCTCCTGCCCTGCCAACCCCAGTCCCCACCGCTGAGGGTGTCCCCATGAAGGATTTACCCCAACAAGCCCTGATGAACAAAAATCCCACCCCAGGGCTGTCAACACCCCCCGGCCCATGCCAACTGCGACAGGGGCTGGTGCTGCAGGTGAGGACAACCATCAGCCAGAGGTTAGCATGGCACCACGTCAAACCAGGACGCACTGGGTCCTCTGCAGGTCCTAGACTTCCTTAGCCCAAGATGTGCAGCAACCCCAAGGCACTCCCAGCCATCTTGGGAGGTACAAGCACCTGCACCAGGTGACTTTGCACTTGATGCACCAAGCCATGCCACATTTTGAGGACACCCCTGGCACAAGTGCCCTTGAGAGAGGGGCTGATGCTCATCATGGATCTTTTGGCAGAGGACACGCCAACCTGCAGGGCTCCAGAGTTCCAGGTCCACGTGCCATGCTGTGGGACTGAGCTCCAGGTTCTTCTTGCAGCACCAGCACCCAGGTTTCAGCCAGCTGGCTGCCTCCGCCGGGCAGACGCACGGGTGCCCACCAATGCCAGGGGCAGAGAGCCTCCCACACATCCTCGCATCCCTGCATTAGCCGCCCTCCGCCAGCCAACACCGCTGGCCTCGGGTCTTAACTCAAACCCAGGCAGGTATTTCTCACCTCCCTGGTCTTTCCTCTTCTCCACTCTCTAGGCTGGAGTCTCCCTGCAAGGAAGCTTCGCTCTGCACAAGTATTTTGAGATGACAACCAAATTACCTCTTAAATTTGTGCAGAGGAAGAGGCAGTACTTTGACTTTTAGCTTCTTGCTTCTGAACCTCAGAAACCTTTTTCTATTACTGATACAAGCCACTTCCATCCTGAGACCCCAATGAGAACAGGCCAGGAGTGGCCTCCCCGAGCCGGCAC